CATGTTCCACCCCTCCTTCCGAGCGAAAAGGATGCGCGAGGGTCGTACAAAAAGCCAGGGGAACTCCTGATCGCCCTCTCGCTTCGCGTGGAGGCTCGGGGGCTCTTCCTGCAACCTTGCCGAGACCCAGCGACCTAAGCTCGCACGCGAAGGGCTCGGCAAACAACCCCTCCTTCCGAGCGAAAAGGATGCGCGCGGGTCGCACAAAAAGCCAGGGGAACTCCTAATCGCCCTCTCGCTCCACGCGGAGGCTCGGGGGCTCTTCCTGCAACCTTGCCGAGACCCAGTGGCCTAAGCTTGCAAGCGAAGGGCTCGGCAAACAACACCTCCTTCCGAGCGAAAAGGATGCGCGAGGGTCGCACAAAAAGCCAGGAGAACTCCTGATCGCCCTCTCGCTCCGCGCGGAGGCTCGAGGGCTCTTCCTGCAACCTTGCCGAGACCCAGCGACCTAAGCTCGCACGCGAAGGGCTCGGCAAACAATCCCTCCTTCCGAGCGAAAAGGATGCGCGAGGGTCGCACAAAAAGCCAGGGGAACTCCTGATCGCCCTCTCGCTCCGCGCGGAGGCTCGAGGGCTCTTCCTGCAACCTTACCGAGACCCAACGACCTAAGCTCGCACGCGAAGGGCTCAGCAAACAACCCCTCCTTCCGAGCGAAAAGGATGCGCGAGGGTCGTACAAAAAGCCAGGGGAACTCCTGATCACCCTCTCGTTACGTGCAGAGGCTTGGGGGCTCTTCCTGCAACCTTGCCAAGACCCAGCGACCTAGGCTCGCACGCGAAGGGCTCGGCAAACAACCCCTCCTTCCGAGCGAAAAGGATGCGCGAGGGTCATACAAAAAGCCAGGGGAACTCCTGATCGCCCTCTCGCTACGTGCGGAGGCTCGGGGGCTCTTCCTACAACCTCTCACACCCCGAGGGTCGGAAAAACGCGACAAAAAAGGGCACCAAGCCCATTATGGTCCAGAGGTTCGAAGGCTGGGCCATTTATGGTCTCGACAGCCGCCTCAGGACGACAGAGTCAGGGACAACTATGGGCGTGCCCGTACATGGCCGAGGCCCAGGCAAGCGATTGCTTGGGATGCCCTAAGTCGTGTCTGAGACCAGCAGGAGTTCTCTAAAGGGGATCCCACCGTAGGGAGGCACCGAGAGCCTAGGGCCAATCGAACGGCCCTGGCACCCGCTAGGGAAGCCTTCTGGTACTTTTTTGGAGCGCGTCTCTGGACCACTAGCCGACCCCTATCGAATAGGGCACGGGCCTCCACTCGGACTTACCCGATAAAAGCTCACCGAAAATGTCACCGCTCGCGCCCACCGAGGGTAGCCTGGCATGTTCCACCCTCCTTCCGGCGAAAAAAGGATGCGCGAGGGTCGTACAAAAAGCGGAAACTCTCGATCGCCCTCTCGCTCCACGCGGAGGCTCGGGGCTCTTCTTCCGCAACCTTGCCGAGACCCAGTGACCTTAGCTCGCGCCTTGAAGGGCTCGGCAAACAACCCCTCCTTCCGAAGCGAAAAGGAAAAGGATGCGCGAAAAAGGGAACTCCTTAAAAGCTCGGGGAACTCGGGGGCTCTTCATCGCCCTGCGGCACCAAGCGACCTAAGGCTCGGGGCTCGGCAAACAACGCCTCCTTCCGAGCGAAAAGGATGCGCAAGCGACCTAAACTCGCATCATGCAGGAGGGGCTCGCAAAACAACCCCTCCTAAGCCGAAGCGAAAAGGATGCGTGAGGGTCGCACAAAAAAAGCCGGGGAACTCCCGATCGCCCTCTCCGCGCTCGCTGCGAGGTGCGGAGGCTCGGGGGCTCTTCCGCAACCTTGCAGAGACCAGTGACCTAAGCTCGCGCCTTGAAGGGCTCGGCAAACAACCCCTCCTCCCGAGTGAAAAGAATGCGCGAGAGGTCATACAAAAGCCGGAGGGAACTCCGATGATCGCCCTCTCGCTCGTCGTGCGGAGGCTCGGGGGCTCTTCCCGCAACCTTGCCAAGACCCAGTGACCTAGGCTCGCACGCGAAGGGCTCGGCGAAAAGGATGCGACAACCCGTCCTCCTTCGGAGGTCGGGGGCTCTTCCTGCAAAAAGGATGCAAACAACCCCTCCGCGAAAAGGATGCGCGAGGGTCGTACAAAAAGCCAGGGGAACTCTTGATCGCCCTCTCGCTACGTGCGGAGGCTCGGGGGCTCTTCCTACAACCTCTCACACCCCGAGGGTCAGAAAAACACGACGAAAAAGGGCACCAAGCCCATTACGGTCTAGAGGTTCGAAGGCTGGGCCATTTATGGTCTCGACAGCCGCCTCAGGACGATAGAGTCAGGGACAACTATGGGCGAGCCCGTACATGGCTGAGGCCCAGGCAAGTGATTGCTTGGGATGCCCTAAGTCGTGTCCGAGACCAGCAGGAGTTCTCTAAAGGTGATCCGATCGTAGGGAGGCACCGAGCCCCTAGGGCCAATCGAGCGCCCAGCACCCGCTAGGAAGCCTTGAGTACTTTTTTGGGAGCGTCTCTGGACCACTAGCCGACCCCTATCGAATGGGGCACGGGCCTCCACTCGGACTTACCCGATAAAAGCTCACCGAAATGTCACGCTCGCGCCCACCGAGGGTAACTGGCATGTTCCACCCCTCCTTCCGAGAAAAAAAGGAAGCGCGAGGGTCATACAAAAGCCGGGGAACTCGATCGTCCCTCTCGCTACGTGCGGAGGCTCGGGGGCTCTTCCTGCAACCTTGCCGAGACCCAGCGGCCTAGGCTCGCGCCTACACGAAGGGCTCGACAAACAACCCCTCCTTCCGAACGAAAAGGATGCGCGAGGGTCGTACAAAAAGCCAGGGGAACTCCTGATCACCCTCTCGCTATGTGCGGAGGCTCGGGGCCTCTTCCTGCAACCTTGCCGAGACCCAGCGGCCTAGGCTCGCACACGAAGGGCTCGACAAACAACCCCTCCTTCCGAACAAAAACGACGTGCGAGGGTCGTACAAAAAGCCAAGGGAACTCCTGATCGTCCTCTCGCTACGTGCGGAGGCTCGGGGGCTCTTCCTACAACCTTGCCGAGACCCAGCGGCCTAGGCTCGCACACGAAGGGCTCGGCAAACAACCCCTCCTTCCAAGCGAAAAGGATGCGCGAGGGTCGCACAAAAAGCCGAGGGGAACTCTCGATCGCCCTCTGCTCCGCGGAGGCTCGGGGCTCTTCCTACAACCTTGCGAGACCCAGCTGACCTAAGCTCGCCACCTTGAAGGGCTCGGCAAACAACCCCTCCTTCCAAGCGAAAAGGATGCGTGAGGGTCGCACAAAAAACCAGGGGAACTCCTGATCGCCCTCTCGCTCCGTGCGGAGGCTCGGGGGCTCTTCCTACAACCTTGCCGAGACCCAGCGACCTAAGCTTGCAC